TCTCTGATGAGTCAAAACGTCTGGTGATAGACAAATGAAATAATAAAAGTGGCGTCCAGTAGTGAAGATAGAGACAGTAAATGTTGCGAATAGTGGCTCAATCGTCGGTATTTCAAGACAACGTCTGTTATCAAGAGATTACTAGAATCTAGTGTTTACAGTACATTACCAGAACTCTGTTAACCCAGCAGGGCCTTAACGGCTATATGTTCACCATAAGTTATGCATTTTATTGTGTCTTACTCCGGTGGTCCATAGAGTATGACACACGCTTCTCATTACCTACACTACTTACAGGTGTAGTCCTCAGATGCACGACCAGGCCCACACACTATGGGTGGTGTGTGTGTGTGACTGCTGCTACCCGTATAGTAATATACTGTAGTGGGAAGGAAACCTGGAGTGTGGAGGAAACTAAAGTTGAGGTGTGATGTAAAATAAAACCAGGGACATAGTTTACAACTTTATTGGTTCCATCCATCAATGTCTTCACAGGTATCAACTGACAACAAAAACGTGGCCAGACTTGGCTTATAAACCATAGTAATAATCGAAAACTGGGTGACCGCCTCAGGACCCCGGCCAGCAAGAGGGAACCTGGTGACCGTGCCTGCCTGCCTGGCCTTGTGACTGTACCCGGCCTGTTGACCGTCTCTTGCTTGGTGACCAAACCAGGCCTGGGAGATGTGCTCAACCTAAGACTGTGTCTGGTCAGGTTACCTTATCCAGTCTGGTGACCGTGTCTTGACCGATAAGAATGCCCGGCTGGTAACCGTGTCCGGTCTTATAAATGTCTGGTCCCTTGACTGTGCCCGGTTTGGTAAACCTGTCCTTTTTAATGAAAGTGACTGGTGAGTTTCCGGTTCCCGGACCACGGCCAGCCTGGTGACCGTGTTCAGGCTGGGTACCTATAACCGGTCTAGTAATGTTACCTGACTTGGTGACCATGGTGGTCCTGGTGTCCCCGTGTGCCGAGGCCCCGCGTGAGTCACCACACACACACAGGTTTACACGTCTGATCGTCTGCCGTGACCTGCCCGCCAGCCCAACAATGTGATAGCGGCCCGATACTATGATATTGAATTACAAAAATATATCATAATGATTGTTGGACTGGCAGGAAGGCCACGGACCCTATGCTAGGTACATATCTAAATGCCACACTGACAGAAGTACAGACAGTTCTCCAAAGGTTATTTATTCTTTAGAGGGAAGGAGAGGGGGAGAGGAGAGGGTACCTTTGGAGTGATACACTGAGACGTCTCTTCATTCTCAATTGGATGAATTTGTGAAGAGAGAAAAAAATTATATTTTCAACGAAATCTGTGTTGAAGATCAAGCCACACAGCAGTCACTTTGTTTAAGGCTTTCTGTAAATGACAATATACATTAACTTGCATACACTACAATCAAAGCTAACAGCAGATAGATTCCAGACACGTCCAAGGTAAAAGCAGCAAGGCAGCATGTCATAAACGACTGGATCCTAACATCATGAGGGTCAAAAGTATTTGTTTTCAAAAAAGATCCGAGACTCCTTGCGTCATCCTCGCTTCTGTCATCCATTGGATAGGCCGCGTTTAAGAATCCAGTATCACCTACGTAAAGATGGGGAACCGTAGGATGAAAGTTGGCAGAGTAATACCTTAACATATACTGTATAAAACCAAAACAATGAACTATGAGAAGGGAGGTTTTGAACTTGATATAGAGGAGTAAAACGCTTGGTCGTTAACAAATTGGGAGCGACTGGTGGTACAGGCTTCTTAACAAGTTTCAGTACGAGTGCATAGCCAGAGCAGACGACATGAAGAGCACAGTGATTGGCATGCTAGCTTATCCTATATGAACAAAATTCACAAAATAAAAAAACAATTCTCCTAGCATCTGACCACACACATATACTGCATTTTTCATTTGATTAAAGATTTTTTTTTACGTTCACAAAATATTGGCAGAGATCTACCATCATACCGAGCAACAATACATTTGTCTAGTAATATCTGAATACCTCGCTTCACTATATATACGCTACTTAGTCTTAGGTAATCTATTATAATTTGGAAAGCATCTGAAACTGTACATAAACACTAAGGTGCGTCCGATGCGCCTCTAAAGCAAGAATCTTTACATAACTATAAACACGGTGGAACGCGCACACCAGACACATTATCAACATTCTAACAATGAGTTAACTTGTGTACCTCTCTTGCATCTGCCATGTATAACACATCTAAGTAATACAGGATATGCTTATGTAATAATTTGCTCGTCCGTAAGGAAAAAGATGATGTAAAAATGTATTGTTTAGACTGTTAAGAAGAAAAGGTCGACAATGAGAGCGGGTGTTGGGGTTTAGTCTGAAGAAAGCGCAGCGCTGGTTGGTTATTTCTAATTTGATGACTTAACCAATCAGCGCCCAACATTTACCGTGTTGACTATGCGGATTTCGTTCCCCGACATTCAGGTACTGTACGAATATTTCTGTAAGGTGGTGTTGCATACCTTTACGGCCAGTGAGGGAAGGCGACTCTGTTTCAATAACATGAAAGCCTTGTCATCACCCCTCAGAGCCCCACCGGCCTCACTTCTCCAGTCTATCAGAGCTTATATTGTCGGCATCTGACGAGGCTTTGTAATGAAAGACTGACACACATCCAAAAATATGCGTTGCTTTACATAAACCCAAGAAAAATATACACTTTCAACTCAGTAAAGTCACATTCACTCCTAAACATAGTAAAAGCTTTATCAACTTTACCCGAAGCTCCTCAACGTCAACCTCACACGAATCATAACAATGGCAGTTCCACACGAAACAAAAGACACATGGGTTGGGCATGAGACCTAATACTGTTCTGTCAGCTTCGCACCGAATTTAGAAAAACAAATTGCTTCAAAGCCTTACAATGTCAGCTTCAAAACAAAACTTGTGTCACGTCAGCGGTATATGTTATTAATGTACACAAGTGTCGCCAAACGTGTCACTGTAAGGTAAAACAGCCTTCCCTTCCCGCCAAGCCCTACATATGAAAACCCACAACATCGCCATCATACGAAAAGTGGCTTCAACTCCACATCAAAATTGTTAATAATATCGGTCTCCGACGGAGTCGCAAAATGTCGGCTGTGCTCGACAGCCTGGTCGACATGCGGCCGCTGAAGGCGCTGGAACACCGAGGCATCCAACCTAACTTTAATCTACCACAAACATGCAACAAGACTCTCTGGAAATATCTGATAATTTTTTTTTTGTTTTTTGTTTTTTTTAAATTCTCAACAATGATATGGTAGTTTCATGGTTCCAGAAACAGTGATAAGAGTTGTCTGTTCATTTTTGTTTGTTTGTTCTATGTTAATGGCCAGGGAAGGCTCAACCACTACATCACTAATGCAAGCGGTTGTGTCTCAGATACAAGTCGTGACGTCACACGTTACGTCACAAAAAGTCTTGGTGTTACGGATACAAAACATGACGTCACGGGTACATCCTTTTTAACCTCACGACCACAAACATTGACGTTGTATACAGTGAGTAGTGACGTCACTATATATACGATAAGTACATGTGCACCATCAGTCAGATGTACAAAGCAGCGTCACGTACACTCTGGCGCCTCAGGTGTAAACAATGAAGTGACAGTTGCATACAAGGCTGTCATTAAGTGTACATCATAACCTAACAGGTGTAAGGCCCTGTAGAGCTGTGTACTGTTACCGGTTACCGACTGTTGACCCGGTAACACGCCCCCAGCAGGAGGTAACGTCGGCTCGCTTGCTTGCGCTGGTGACGTCCTGGTGACCTCAGCTCCCGTGGTGAGCTTCAAGAATCAATAGTTCCGTTCAAGATAAAAAGATTTATTACCGGTGAGAGAGAGAGAGACTTGGGGTGTGACGTATTACAATTTGGCAACGCTGGTGTGCAAGACCCGAGCCTTGCCGCCAACTGTACAAAATGAGCTGGTTCAACAAAGTGTCAAATATGTAACAACACCAAAGTTACGGGGAATGAACTGTGTAGTGTCACCACACCCAACTAAACGTAGGAGACACCCTTACTCAACACCACCACACACTATACCCTAACCACCAACACCACACCCATCACCACTACCACACACTACACCGTTACCAACACCACCACACACCATACCCATCACCACTACCACACACTACACCCTTACTCACCACTACCACACACTACACCCTTACCAACACCACCACACACCATACCCATCACCACGACCATACACTACACATTGTTAAATTATGTGAAGTTTCAGTCATTACAATTTGTTTACATTAAATTTCTTCAATAATTCACGCCTAAAATAAAGGTTTTCTCAATGATCTTATTCAAATTTTTTGGTCAATAAACCTGATTATTCTTACATGTCTATTTATAAATGTAAAGTGTAATCTTGTGAATAGTTTTGTTTTGTAAATCATGATCAAGAGCGCGTCCTGAAGTATGTGGTGGGTGTGGTAGTGATGTGGTGGTGGGTGTGGTAGTGATGTGGTGGTGGGTGTGGTAGTGATGTGGTGGTGGGTGTGGTAGTGATGTGGTGGTGGGTGTGGTGGGTAGTGTAGTGTTTGGTAGTAGTGGGGGTGTATTAGTGGTGTGTGGTGGTGATTTAACAGTGGTATGTGGTGGTGGGGTAGTGTGGAAGTGGTTTGTGGTAGTGGTGTGATGGTATGGTAATGGATGGTATGGTAGTGGTGTGTGGTAGTGGTGTGGTAATGGTGAGTGGTGTGTGGTGGTGGTGTGTGTGTGGTGGTGGTGTGTGGTAGTGGTGTGATGGTATGGTGTGGATGGTATGGTGGTGTGTGTGTGGTGGTGTGGTAATGGTAGTGGTGTGTGGTGGTGGTGTGTGGAAGTGGTGTAGTAGGGTAGTGTGGATGGTATGGTAATGGATGGTAGTGTGGTGTGTGGTAGTGGTGTGTGGTAGTGGTGTGTGGTGTGTGTGGTAGTGTGTGGTGTGGTGTAGTAAGTGTGGTAATGGTAGTGGTGTGTGTGGTGGTGTGTGGTAATGGTAGTGGTGTGTGGTAGTGGTGTGTGGAAGTGGTGTAGTAGTGGTGAGGGGTCGGCCTCACACACACCCACCACCTCCTTCTCTCACAAACCAGTACAGTGTCTTATACAAGTGTACATCTTTAAGACCCTCGCAACAGATTCAGGAGGTGACAAAATGATAAACACAGATAGGAAAACAATACAACAACAACAACAACAACAAGTGGCCAATTAAAATGTTGTAAGAACTGAGTCAGCCAAAGAAAGACTAGACCCAACACGAGCAGAGCCAAGGCCTGTCTTACATGGTGGTAGGGGGCAAGATGGCGGCCTTAACCTCGCTTCACCCTTAACAGTACTCGAGAATTGAAGTCCAAAAATATACAGTAACTTAAAAGGCACGTGCCGAGCGGTACAAGGAACGGTACAGGAACACACAATGGTACAGTTTAACTCACGGAACAGTATGTCACCTTTGGTTGGGTTGTCATGCTTCACTATTGCACTTTATTAAAATAGTTACTCTAGTTTTACATAATATATATATATATATATATATATATATATATATATATATATATATATATATATATATTCTAAGTTATCTATAGAGAAAAAATCTATTTACTGCAAAATGTAAATTTTCATGATATTAGTTTTTATAAATCTTACTGAAGCTACAAACTTTTCGAGATACAACTAATATACTGTATTAATACACTGTACCAAAACATTATGCAGCACTAATATACTGTATTAATACACTGTACCAAAACATTATGCAGCACTAATATACTGTATTAATACACTTTACAAATACATTGAATTAACACAGTGAACTAACATACTGTACTAATACACTGTGTTAATACACTGTACTAACACACTGTACACAGTCGACTGAACTTGACTACTGCACATGGCCTACCATATATCTCAACTCGTGTGCATTTAAATAACAAATTAAGTAGCATTTGATTTAGACTTATTATAATATACAACAAGTCTTTAAGAAGCCTTTATCAGCTTAACAAATGTATTACTGGACTCCAAAAATTAATCATGGTTCCTTAATTTTATTGATATATATATATATATATATATATATATATATATATATATATATATATATATATATATATATATATATATATATATATATATTGCATTTATATGTATATATATTTATACATATACAAATAAGTAATTTTTTGATAATTGTATACACACATTTATAAGATGAATGTATATATTAACATTTTCTTACTCATAAAGAAGCGATGATTAATGTTATGTTACAAGTTCCTTATACTGACTTTATGACAAAAAGCTACTGATACTAATGAATAACAGGAATGTGAGAGAATATCCCTAATAATAAAGATAACGTATCCTTGTTGTGGTAGGCGGGGCGGGGCGGGGCGGGGCGGGGTAGGGCGGGGCGGGGTGGGGCGGGGTGGGGCGGGGCGGTGTGAGGGTGTAGGGGCCATTCCACACAGCAGCGGTGGTCGTCAAGCAGTAGTTGTCACCCGCAGGTTCACTTTGGCGGAAGTTTTACGAGAACAAAATCTTTCTTTCTTTTATTAATATTTTGTTGCTTTCTGCTTGGTTTATGTTACTTATGAAACACGTTGGTTTGGGTGTGTATGTGTGTGATGCTGCTGGAACACTCGGTTTACCACGTGGTTTCAGTCATGTAGGTTGACATGATGCCCACAGCCACCAGCACGGGGGAGCAGGCCATCACGTGCGCCCTGTTGGGGGAGATGTCCTGCAGGGAAGAGACCAAAAAAGAGAAATGTCCATTATTTACACTGGTACACAGGCAAGGGAGGAGCAGGGATAAGTTCGCCAATCTGCTATCGCAAAACAAACGCCTAAAATATACTCTGTTTGGGGTCACTGTTTTGTTGCATTAGCATTCCGTACATTGTGAAGGAATACTTGAATTAGTTAAGTGGAGATTTAAATTGAACTTTACTGAAAATTCAAGATGATTGTGGGGGGGAGGGGGGAGGACTTTTTATGATGCCATCACCAACAACTGAGTGAGCTAAGACGTTCAGGAACACATAGTTACGAATGGAACTAAAGCCTTCAGGTGTGTTAACAACGGTGTGTAATCAATCGGCTTGGACAGAAACATATCCTAATAAACTTATGATAACGTATCGTCGCAAGGCAGAACATACAGCCACTATCTAACTAAAGGTCAGGCGGCAGACTCAACACTCACTCAGAAGCACTCAGGTCAAAGGTCATACTCCGACAGGGTAACCACAGTGTGTAGGCTGCCAACAAGCCAACCAGTAGGTGTTGTTGTCATCAAGACATGCACTGTTAAAGGTGTGTTTGATCAGCCAAGGTTAACTTGTCCCACTACACAAAGTAAAACATAGATGCGTGCTATTATGTCTATCAATGTGGCAACCAACTGCTAGTACTTGTTAAAGGGGAGCTTGACAAACAAACTGCAAGTAGTTTATTATGCTGTCACACTAATTTAGAATTGCAATGACTTGACAACTATTCGTCAGTGTCGAGTTGAAGCAGAACTCGTTCAAGAAAAGTCTCACTAAGGAAGATGTAAAGGTCTCCATAGCCAGGTAAAGCACGGAACACCAACTAGGAACATACTGACGGCTCTAGGCTCACTCCCAACATCCACAATACAAAGCCTCCAAGATTATGTTGCAAGTGTGTGTTGAAGTGCATGTTGCTACGGCAAGATGTTAATAAATGGCACCTGACTCCTCTAGGGCTCTTCTGCCGCTGTTGCAGAGTGACGTCATCTGGAGATGCTCATGACGTGATAAATGACGCCATTTAGCAGAGCTCATGACGTAATAATGACGCCATGGTGTAGATTCATGACGTGATGATGACGTCATGACGTACAGCTCGTGGCATGGCGTCAGGGTAATGATGATGACGCCTTGCTGGGATGCTCATGACGTAATTGTGACGTCATGCTAGGATGTTCATGGCGTAACAATAACGTTATGGGATGCTAATGGCGAATCAGTGACGCCATGCTGGGATACTAATGACGTAATAATAACATCATGCTAGGATGTTATTGACGTAAGAATGGCGTAATGCTGGGATGCTACTGACGTAATAATGACGTCATGCTAGGATGATCATGACATACTAATGGCATCATGCTGGGATGGTCATGACGTAGAACGCCAAGCTGAAATAATTCATGATGTAATAATGACGTCACGGTGTAGAGCTCACGGCATAATGACGTCATGCTCGGAGGATGCTCATGACGCACTGAACAGTTCGTGACGAATTGATGACGTCATGGTGTGGAGCTCACGGCATGATGACGTCACTATGCAAAGCTGATTACGCAATTATGACGTCATGGGTAAAGCTCATGACGTTATGCTTAAATAAATATATATAATTTTTACTTAAGATTCAATGAAGCTTTAAAGATGGTACATAAGACATTGTTATAGAAACACTGAACCTCTGAGAGATACAATTTTGTGTGAAATATTTGTGAACTGATAAAACAACACAAATTCATTTATTTATCTGAATCACGACAAAAGACGCAATATTTGTTCATTATAACCGACGAAAATATATTAAATTATGTTCTTGATAAAATAAAATGTTCTTAAGAGTTAAAAAGGTGAGGGGAAGGAGGGTGTTGTGATTTAAGGCCTGTGTGTGTGTCGGGGAGGGGTGAAGGGGTGGTGTGAGGTGGGAGAAGAAGGGGTGGGGGGGTGAAGGGGTGGTGTGAGGGGAGAAAAAAGGGGGAAGAAGGGGTGGGGGGGGAAGGTGGTGTGAGGGGTGAAAAAGAGGGGAAGAAGGGGTGGGGGGTGAAGGGGTGGTGTGAGGGGGAGAAAAAGGGAAGAAGGGGTGGGGGGGGGTGGGGGGTGGTGTGGGGGAGAAAAGGGGGAGAAAGAAGGGGGTGGGGGGTGGTACTATTATACAGCTGATCATTGTTTTCCTTTTTTCTTTTTTCTTTTCTAAACTAACGCAGGAGGTTTACACAACCATACACACAGGACATAAACATACATACACATAAACCCACACACACACACACATACATACATACATGAACACGAACTTACTGATCATAAATACACTGTCCAAATGGTATACACACACACACACATATGTATCCACACACACACAATATACATAGACACACGCCTTACTGTACACAGGCATACATACACACACACAAACACACATATTGACCTGGATAGACGCAAGATAAAAGTGTACAGACACACACACACACGCACACACACATTTGTATATATGCAGACACAGACAGACAGACAGACAGACAGACAGACAGACAGACAGACAGACAGACAGACAGACACCTGGGACAAAATAAAACCCTTCATCATCTTTATATATTATAAAACACATAAATTAATATATATTTAGACGAAGAAAAAGCAACACATATACTTTAAGAACAGACAGTTTCCATGCAATAAGGACATACACTGTAAAAATGCCCAGAAATCTATCAGATTAAAAAAAAAAAAAAAGGCTTGTAATCCCAGGAGGACGATGACTTAGTACCCTGAGTACACGTGTTATCTTACTCAAGGGATAAGGTCATCTTATTCAAAGGGTTAAATCGTCGTACTCAAGAGTTTATTAAGTCATTGTACTCAAAAGGTGAAGCTATCGTACTTAAAGGGTTTTGTCATCGTACTCAAGAGGGGTTAAAATGCAAATTTTTAAACTACTCTTTAAGAAAATTACTAAAAAGAGATTACAAAATAGCGAAGAAAAATATGAAATATACTAAAAAAAGTTGAAATATTCTAAAAAAGGTGAAATATTCTAAAAAAGGGTAAATATTCTAAAAAAAAGTTGAAATATTCTAAAAAAATCTACAATAAATACGATTAGTAAATGAATAAAATGATTAATATTAATTCATCAATATATTTTAAATTGGTGATTTATTTGGCGCCAAAAAAAAAAAATATTCACTTTAATTGTTTACTAATCATGTCTAATCAGAGTTACTTAATTACCTAATCATCAGCTGTTCTCGCCAATCGTCATAATCCAATCACTAAGGTAATCGTCCTCCTTACTCCTTCAGATACTGTACCAATCAGTGTAAGGAAGTAATTATAGGGAGATAGGCCTTTATATATGGGGGAGAGATAGTGGTGGTGCTGGAGAAGTGGCGGTGGAGTAGTAGTTGTGGTGGTGGAGTAGTGGTGGTGGAGTAGTGGTGGTGAAGGAATAGTGGTGGTGGTGGAGGAATAGTGGTGGTGGTGGAGGAATAGTGGTGGTGGTGGAGGAATAGTGGGTGGTGGTGGAGGAGAGTGGTGGTGGTGGAAGAATAGTGGTGGTGGTGAGGAATAGTGGTGGTGGTGGTGGAGGAATGGTGGTGGAGGAATAGTGGTGGTGGAGGATTTGTGGTGGTGGAGGAGGAATAGAGTGGATGAGAATGGTGGTGGTGGAGGAATAGTGGTGGTGGGTGGAGGAATAGTGGTGGAGAGGAATGAGGGTGGTGGAGGAATAGTAGGTGGTGGTGGAGGAATAGTGGTGGTGGTGGTGGAGGAATAGTGGTGGTGGTGAAGGAATAGTGGTGGTGGTGGAGGAATAGTGGTGGTGGAGGAATGAAAGTGGTGGTGGAGAAATAGTGGTGGTGGAGAATAGTGGGTGGTGGTGGTGGAGGAATAGTGGTGGTGGGAGGGAATGAGGTGGTGGTGGAGGAGGAGGAATGAGGGTGGTGGAAGAGGAATAGTGGTGGTGGTGGAGGAATAGTGGTGGGTGGAGGAGGAATGAGTGGTGGTGGTGGAAAATGGTGGTGGTGGAGGAGGAATAGTGGTGGTGGTGGAGGAGGAATAGTGGTGGTGGTGGGAGGAGAATGGTGGTGGTTGGAGGAAGAGTGAGGTGGTGGAGGAGGAATAGTGGTGGTGGTGGAGGAATGTGGTGGTGGAGGTGGGATGGTGGTGGTGGTGGTGGAGGGAGGGGGAGGGAAATAGTGGTGGTTGTGGAGGAGGAATAGTGGTGGTGGTGGAGAATAGTTGTGGTGGTGGAGGAGAATAGTGGTGGTGGTGGAGGAGGAATGGTGGTGGTGGAGGAGGAATAGTGGTGGTGGAGGAGGGTTAGTGGTGGTGGAGGAGGAATAATGGTGGTGGTGGAGGAGGGAATAGTGGTGGTGGTGGAGGGAGGAATAGTGGTGATGGTGGAGGAGGAATAGTGGTGTTGTGGAGAGGAATAGTGGTGAAGGTGGAGGAGGAATGATGGTGGTGGAGGAGGGAATGGTGGTGGTTGGAGGAGGAAGAGTGGTGGTGGTGGAGGAGGAATAGTGGTGGTGGTGGAGGGGAGGGATATTGTGGTGGTGGAGGGTGGGATGAAAGTGGTGGTGGTGGTGGAGGTGGAGGAATGAGTGGTGGTTGTGGAGAGAGGAATAGTGGTGGTGGTGGAGGGAATATGGTTGTGGTGGTGGAGGGAATGTTGGTGGTGGAGGTGGAATAGTGGTGGTGGTGGTGGTGGAGGAGGAGAGATGGTGGGAGTGGTGTGGAGGAGGAATAGTGGTGGTGGTGGAGGAATAGTGGTGGTGGGTGGAGGAATAGTGAGTGGTGGAGGAGGAATAGTGGTGGTGGTGGAGGAATAGTGGTGATGGAGCAATAATGGGAGGAGGAATAGAGGTGGAGGAGAAATAGGTGGAGGAATAGTGGTGGTGGGAGGAATAGTGGAGGAGGAATGGGGGAAGGAGGAATGAGGTGGTGGAAGAGGAATAGGTGGAAGAGAATAGTGGTGGTGGTGGAGGAATAGTGGTGGTGGAGGAGGAATAGAGGTGGATGAGGAATAGTGGTGGTGGAGGAGAATAGAGGTGGATGAGGAATAGTGGTGGTGGAGGAATAGTGGTGGTGGTGGGAGGAATAGTGGTGGAGGAGGAATGAGGTGGTGGAGGAATAGTGGTGGTGGTGGAGGAATAGTGGTGGTGGAGGAATAGTGGTGGGAGGATTTGTGGTGGTGGAGGAGAATAGAGGTGGATGAGGAATAGTGGTGGTGGAGGAATAGTGGGGTGGTGGAGGAATAGTGGTGGAGGAGGAATGAGGTGGTGGAGGAATAGTGGTGGTGGTGGAGGAATAGGTGATGGAGCAATAATGGTGGAGGAGGAATAGAGGTGGAGGAGAAATAGTGGTGTTGGAGGAATAGTGGTGGTGGTGGAGGAATAGTGGTGGAGGAGGAATGAGGGGTGAAGGAGAAATAGTGGTGGTGGAGGAATAGTGGTGTGGAGGAATAGTGGTGGAGGAGGGAATGAGGGTGGTGGAGGAGGAATGAGGGTGGTGAAGAGGAATAGTGGTGGTGGAAGAGGAATAGTGGTGGTGGTGGAGGAATAGTGGTGGGAGGAGAATAGTGGTGATGGTGGAGGAAATGGTGGTGGTGGGAGGAGGAATAGTGGTGGGAGGAGGAATAGTGGTGATGGTGGAGGAGGAATGGTGGTGGGTGGAGGAGAATAGTGGTGGTGGAGGAGGGTTAGTGGTGGAATAATGTGGTGGTGGAGGATGAAGGGAGGAGAATATTGGTGAGGAGGAATAGTGGTGATGGTGGAGAGAGAATGGTGGGAGGAGGAATAGTGGTGGTGGTGGAGGAATAGAGGATGAATAGTGGTGATGGTGGAGAAAATGGTGGTGGTGAGGAGAAGAGTGGTGATGGTGGAGGAATAGGTGGTGGTGGTGGTGGGAGGAATAGTGTGATGGTGGAGGAAAATGGTGGTGGTGGAGGAGGAATAGTGGTGATGGTGGAGGAGGAATAGTGTGATGGTGGAGGAGGAATAGTGGTTGGAGGTTAGTGGTGGTGGAGAGGAAGAGGGTGGTGGTGGAGGAGGAATAGTGGTGGTGGTGGGAGGAGGAATATTGGTGGTGGAGGTGGGATAGTGGTGGTGGTGGTGAGAGGAGAATGGTGGTGGTTGTGGAGGAGGAATAGTGTGGTGGTGGGGAGGAATAGTTGTGGTGGTGGAGGAATAGTGGTGGTGGAGGAGGAATAGTGGTAATGGAGGAGGAATAGTGGTGGTGGTGGAGGAATAGTGGTGGTGGTGGAGGAATAGTGGTGGTGGAGGAGGAGGTTAGGGAAGTATACTGAAGGTTTGAGTAGGTTAGAGAAGGGTAGGGTTGTGGTGGAAGAGGAGGAGAAGGACTAGTGGTGGAGGTGGATGAAGAGGATGACGTCATAGTAATCTGGCGTCAGCCTCGCAGGGAGTGATGTCATAATCCCAACTTCGTGTAGTGACATCATATTCCCAAACTTGCGTCAGTATTACGAATTTGAGTAGTGACGCATCACAAACTTAGTGACATCATAACTTACAAACCCAGGTAGTGACGTCATAATCCCAAGACTGGGGAGTGACATCATAATGAGTGAGGTAGTGAGGTTGGTGACACAAGGATGGGAACTAAGATGAGGACGGTGACATCATTAACATTACCTTGTACACAATGAAGTCAATCACCGATCTTACAGTAATAGTTATCAAGTATTCTGTATATTTACTTACTCTCAGAGGTCAGTAATTCTTGTCTGGCATCATCTTTAAATTATCAGTTAATTCCTTATATTTATATATATATATATATATATATATATATATATATATATATATATATATATATATATATATATATATATTTATGTATATATATATAGAGAATGGAAGTAATGTTTTATATAAATGAGGAATTTATGTTAGGAGTGTTATTGACTCTTTGTCATGTTTTTATATACATATTCATGATGTTTAGTTAAGTGTAAATCATTACAGCAACATCTATAAAATTAGATTTATTTACAGGTAAAACTTCAACTCAACTTCAATCTTAGGACTCTGTACGTAAAACATTGCAATCTAAGATCTTCTCTCATGGGGTTTTTCAGCTGGAGAATACGGTAGTACTAAGTGACGTTAAGAAAACATTCAGTCTTAAGAGTAATAGCATATTCTAGAGGCAAGACATTAGTTGGATCTGAGAAATCACTACAAGCTACTCAACTAGTATAAGACCCATAATCTGGGAGAATCACACTTAGATGTATCGAATTGAATCCAAAATGATAATGGTCTTTGATTCTCATTTGTGGCCTATTTTAGTCAACAAATTTCACAAGTCGTCTGGAAAAAAAAAGGACAAATGATTTGTTTTACTGAAAAAAGCGAAACTGAATATTTCTTTTTTTTTAATTTTGACATATGATAACTGTATGGAGTAATTTACTATTTTTATTTGCTAGATAATAAAAGCTTGAAAGGGACACAGTTGCACAAGCGAGAGCAGCGAAAACAAACCCCATATTTTGGTGAGAGGACAACGTGCCCACATGTTGTATTATTACCGTGGCGGCCATGAGGAAGACACGTGTTCAGGGTTGTGTAGTAGTGACAGCGAAAAGAGTGTGATGTTTTGGTCAAGGTTCTCTTGGGGCTCCCCCCAGGGGCCAGCACTTCTAGAGTAGAGGTCAAACTGTGGCTAAGCAAGTAACAAACAACCTTCTTAACCAGTCCATCTTCGTGTCAGTGAATGAAGCTCAAAGGAGTAGTTAAATCTTTGTATAGGAAGGAGGGATGAACCTTGAGTGAGGGTCGTCCAGGTGGTGACTAAGGTACTGTAGGTAGCGGGTGGTGGGTGAGGCGGGCGGAGCCGTTTGGTCTGGATGGACAAGCTAAGCAACTGACAAATGTCGTTGGAATCACTGTGAGTTTGGCTTTCTTGACTGTTATTCTAAAACATCTCAAACTGCTTTCTACTCGATCATCACATGGAGAAAATGAATATCCTTGACTTCAGAACAAGGGCTGATAACGTATAATGGAGATATTTAGCAGCGGTATGATTGCTGGTTTTTCACTTCATAAAACACCATCCGTGAAGTTGATCCTTTAAGAATTAATTTTTACAGCAAATCTGCGATGTTCTCAGATTAGGGTCTTACATGTGTGTAACTACCCAGTTGCCAGTTAGCTGCTGTAGCTGCGCGTGCCAGCTGCAGCAGGCCCGCCGCGTGGTCTTGTGAGGACAGTCCGTGTGGTTTAATGCATTATTGAACTAGTTGTTTTGACATAAATCTGACTTGTTGCACTCCAAAAGTCATTCCACTGAGCTACATACCACTATCACTATGACTATGACTATGAAACACTCACTGTTGTGCGGTCGCTTTTTGTGTACCAGGACGTCTTGTTATCTGCTCTTGTGGGCCAAATCTGAGGGGTTGCCTGAGTCACAGGCGGCACCTAAACAAAAATACTTAGCTTTTTCTCCCGACTCATAAAATGTGGGTACAATTTTTTCTGACCTACATACTCAAGTTTGGATCTTCTAGAACGAATGCGGCATACAATGAGGATATAATTTTCTCCAATAAAATTTGCTCCGAGACAAGTGTTTTGCATTAGCCGACTGGCGAAGATATGGACACATTAGTTTTTGGTTGAAGGAAAATATGTGTATATGTGTGCCACACTCACAGCTCAGAAATATTTACGGTCTCCTGACCACTAGAGAGAGAACAAAGTTTTGTGGGTGGCGGTGTGGTTGAAGCCAGTTTACAGGTATGAGGTAACTTGACCACGGAAACATGTAACGTGGAGTGAACCCTCCTCTATACCCTGGACCTAACACCTCGTCCAGGCATTTCACCCTTCAGTAGCCTGGCGAACACGTCGCCTTGAGGCATTTCACCCTACAATAACCTGGCGAACACGTCGCCTTGAGGCATTTCACCCTACAATAACCTGGCGAACACCTCGCCTTGAGGCATTTCACCCTACAATAACCTGGCGAACACCTCGCCTTGAGGCATTTCACCCTACACTACGCATGACTTTAATTCTTGCTAACAAGCATTCCATCTTAAACTACCCTCTGCTTGAATTTCTTGCCTTCAAACACTCCACCTCACAGTGGCTTTGACCATTATTTCGTGCCATGACGCACTCCACTCCCTAATACCCATGACCATATACCTAGTGGGTTGAAGCACTCCACCTAAAGTACACCTTGACCTTTATCTCTCGCTTATCACCACTCTACACCATAGTACCCAACTTGTATCTCTGGCCGTCAGGTTCTCTACCCCAAGGTACCTCCCGCCCGGTAGTTCTCCTTACACTACCTTCTCTGCTTTAATCACTTGCCTTGAAGCTCTCTGGATCTGACAGGAGCCTCATCCTCTGTATCTCATTGCCTTATGCCGCCAACATCTCATTGTGTGTCTGGCGGCTGTGCATGATCCAGTATCATGACTCAGCATCACGACACAGCATCACAACACAGCATCATGATACAGCATCATAACACAGTATCATGACACAGCATCACATCACAGTATCATAACACAGCATCATGACAAAGTATCATGACACAGCATCACGACACAGCATCATGACACAGCATCATAACACAGCATCATGGCACAGCATCACGACACAGCATCATGACACAGCATCATAACACAGCATCATGGCACAGCATCACATCACAGTATCATAACACAGCATCATGACAAAGTATCATGACACAGCATCATGACACAGCATCACGACACAGTTCCCTACATGACACTCTTTTCCCCTGCCACTAACATTACTAGTGTGATCTAGGCTTCCTTTCGTCGACCGATTGCCATTAATAACAATCTAATTACTTTATATGACCCAGCTCCCTGACGTGACCTAGCTCCACCTGCATAACGGTAATGACCTTTCCAATTAACGCGCTTTGTACTATATTGCATGACCAATCCCAAAACTTTTTACACAGCGTGATCAATTTGACCTTGGGATGTGGGGCCATCTTTGTAGAATGACCACCAATGACCCAGTTCACCAACATGACCCAGCTTTCCCACATGACCCTATACAGTATGAGCTTGTTTTCCCCACATGACGCACCTCTCCTACATGACCTCCACTTGACCTACATAATCCCACATGATCCATATTTCCTGTTACTTTACCCACCTTCAGTTCATAGCATCAACAGGCTAGTTTCTTAAGGTGATCTAATACTGAACTCCCATGACCCAGCTCTTACACGCCCAGTTCCCATCCATGACCCAACTTTTCCACATGACTCCATATGACCCAGCTCTCCCACAAGACCTACCATAGTTTTCTGTTTAATTAAGTATCAGCTTGTGAGAGTCAAGAGAGGACTACACGACTTCAGTCCCCCTCAGCTGGGTAAGTCTGCCGACCAGTCCTCACTGGCAGACACTAGGGAGGTCCAGAGTCCCGTAGGCCTGGTGACTCATTAGGGACAGTGTGGATACAGCACACTGTAGACTAAGCCTTTGTTCGGTACACAAGGAGGCAGTATGGCCGGCACTGCACTCGACCGCCTTAACATCCCCAACTGCTAGAGTTAGGTACCCATTCACAGTTGGGTGGACTGAGGTGCCCGGCGCGAACTTGCGACCATTAGGGCAGGAGGCGAGCGCTGTATCCACTCATCCACTGCACCCAGGAGGAAGGTGACAGTAGAGAAACTCTCACCTCAAGCAACACCACGTCACATGTTGAAGGTGTTGACATAGTAGTGTTAACAAACTAAGACGAGATAATATGCTGTAAGCACCAAGAAGTGAAAACAAGCAGATGTTAGCAAACAGGTGAAGAGTGAGTAACACATGTTTATAACAAGAATATCCAGAGGATAACAGGTGTTCATAAAGCCAATAATTAGTGTAAAGAGAAACAGTTAGTGCTTTTGTAAGAATAACAGGTGTTAAAAATAGAATATAAGATATCGTATATAACAACAGGTGTTGAAGCATATAATAACAGTTGTTCATATATTGAGTAGCAGATGTTATGAGCATGTATTTTTTAATTATAACTAATAACCGGTGTCTACAAAAACCAGGTACTTAAAGGTAAACATCAGGTATTATTAAAGTATCAGCAGATGTTTAAATGAATACCAGGTGTACTGTAACAGGTGATGTAAACATGTAACGTACAATAAATTATATGTTCATACAGCTGTTTGTAAAGTGATAACGTGTTTATAATATGTGTTTATAATATATGGATGTTTGTATGCAAATTACATATGTTTGTAAGTAAATAGCAGATGTCTAAGGAACTAACATGTGTCTGTAAGTAAATAAATGGTGTTTATAAAGTAAGGGGGGCTTTTATAAGTATATAACAAGTGTTCATACAAAGGATAAAAAGTGTTTACAGATATTAACAACAGATGTTAATAAGAAGATTACAAAGTATTTACTAATAATAACAGGTGTTGGTAAAGAGAATAACCAGCCATTAGAGATAAAATTACAGGTTAATGAAGGAAATAATATGTCAGTAATTACAAGAACAGGTGTTTATACAAATAATAACTGGAGTTCATAAGAAAAACAGTTGCTTAATGATAAAATTTTTGATAATAATAAAGAAAAGCAGGTGTTTACAAGGGAGAGTACAGGTGTCTACGATGAGAAGAGATGCTTATATAAACTAAAGGGTGCTCATTAAGACTCAAAAGGTGTGTGTAAAACAGGATAACAAGTGTTTACAATGACAACAGGTGATCTTAAGATAACAACACGAGTTTACAAAGAGAACATTAGGTGTTTATCATGATAATAATAAGTGTTGATCAAACATCTACTGGTAAAGCTGAGGTTAAAGACAAATAATCTTTAGAAAAAGACATGTGTTCACAAGCTCAGTTGGTTGAACGTTCGCCTCGCAAGCAAATGGCCACGGGTTCTATTCCTGACCAAAGCAGAGTACTGTATTAGGCTGGCTACCTGTACACTAGCTCTCGTGTGTGTACACTATCTGTTACGGATGTTGGTGGTGGACCACCCACTAGCTGCTAAGATGGTGGACCAACCCTTGGGTGGACCACCCACTAGCTGCTGAATGATGGTGGACCAACCCTTGGGTGGACCACCCACTAGCTGCTGAATGATGGTGGACCAACCCTTGGGTGGACCACCCACTAGCTGCTGAATGATGGTGGACCAACCCTTGGGTGGACCACCCACTAGCTGCTGAATGATGGTGGACCAACCCTTGGGTGGACCACACACTAGCTGTTGAATGATGGTGGACCAACCTTGGGTGGACCACCCACTAGCTGCTGAATGATGGTGGACCAACCTTGGGTGGACCACCTAGCTTGCTGAATGATGGTGGACCAACCCTTGGGTGGACCACCACTAGCTGCTTTGAATGATGGTGGACCAACCCTTGGGTGGACCACCCACTAGCTGCTGAATGATGGTGGACCAACCCCTGGGTGGACCACCCACTAGCTGCTGAATGATGGTGGACCAACCCTTGGGTGACCACCCACTAGCTGCTGAATGATGGTGGACACATGAACACACTACTGAATGATGGTGGACCACCCACTAGCTGCTGAATGATGGTGGACCAACCCTTGGTGGACCACCCACTAGTGCTGAATGATGGACCAACCCTTGGTGGACCACCCACTAGCTGCTGAATGATGGTGGACCCATCTTGGGTGGAACCCACTAGCTGCTGAATGATGGTGGACCAACCCTTGGGTGGACCACCCACTAGCTGCTGAATGATGGTGGACTAACCTTGGGTGGACCACCCACTAGCTGCTGAATGATGGTGGACCAACCTGGTGGACCACCCACTAGCTGCTGAATGATGGTGGACCAACCCTTGGGTGGACCACCCACTAGCTGCTGAATGATGGTGGACCAATCATGGGTGGACACACAGCGCTGAATGGTGGACCAACCCTTGGGTGGACCACCCACTAGCTGCTGAATGATGGTGGACCAACACAGGTGTGGCGTAACCCATTAGCTGCTAAGTGCAGGGACATCAACACCTGCCCGGCCGTGGTAGAAGGTTTGTATGCATTAAGAAAAGAAATATTGTATAAGAAGAATTAAACACAATTTCGTTCAGCGTTAATGATGTCATTAAAGGATAATGATAATCATAATAATAACAATAATAATATTAATACAATTATTACTATTATTATTTTTTTTTTTTATTACTACTACTACTATACTAATAATAATGCTAACAATAATTATAATAATAATAGCAGTAGTAATAATTATTAATAATAATAATAATAATAATAATAATAATAATAATAATAATAATAATAATAATAATAATAATAATAATAATAATAATAATAATAATAATAATAATAATATAATAATAATAATAATAATAAAATAATAATAATAATAAAAATAATAATAATAATAATAATAATAATAATAATAATAATAATATTGTTAATAATGTTCATAATAATAATACTAAAATAATAATAATAATAATAATAACATCATAAGAGGGACAGCAGGAAAGTGGTCTTACTAAGAGATGTCACTACTATCTCTCTCCCTGTTGCATTCAGCATGGTGCACACACACACAGGCAATTGTTGCAAGGTTTGACGTAGAGAAAAAACAACAACAACAACAACAACAGATTATACAAAGAAAGGTTGAGTACCATTTAAAGAGTTGCATTTAGGATCGGCTGATTTAGATTGAGTTTGAGAACGACATTTTTCTTGGAATTTAGCTCCCTATCTTAACCCACGTGACCTATTGCCCTCCTACCTTTGCCCACGTGACCCATTTCTCTCCTATCTTAAACCACGTGACCCATTTCTCTCACTTAAACCCACGTGACCTATTTCTCTCCTACCATAACCCACATTTTCTCCTACCTTAACCCACGTGACCCATTTCTCTCCTACCTTAACCAACGTGACCCATTTCTTCCTACCTTAACCACGTGACCCATTTCTCTCCTACCTTAACCCGTGACCCATTTCTCTCTTTACCCACGTGACCCATTTCTCTTAGCCCACATGCCCATTTCCTCCCACCATAACCCCGTGACCCATTTCTCTCCTACCTAACCCCACGTGGCCCATTTCTCTCTTAACCCACGTGACCCATTTCTCCTTAACCCACATGACACATTTCTCTTAACCCACATGACCCATTTCTCCTCTACCCCTTTGACCCATTTCTCTTTAACCCACATGACCCATTTTCTCTATACCTTAACCCATGACCCATTTCTCTCCTACTTTAACCCACGTGACAGTTCTCTCCTATCTTAACCCACGTGACCCATTTGTCTCCTATCTTAACCCACGTGACATTTCTCTCCTACCTTAACCCGTGACCCATTTCTCTCTTAACCCACGTGACCCATTTCTCTCCTTAACCCATGACCCATTTCTCTTAACCCACATGACCCATTTCTCTCATACCTTAACCCACAAGGCATTTCTCTCCTACTTTAACCCACGTGACCCATTTCTCTCCTACCTTAACCCGTGACCCATTTCTCTCTTAACACATTTCTCTCTATCTTAACCCACTGATTCTCTCCTATCCTTAACCCATGACATTTTCT